CCAGGCACCCCCCCAGACATAGAGAGCTTTCTTGATACACCACATTCTTTCCTGACTTCAGGCTTTCACACCTGCTGTCCCCCATTTCTGGCACACTGATCCCTGCTCCCTCCTCTTCATGTTCGCCCCCCCCCCACTTGTCTGTCTATTCACTTCTACTCATCCTTCTGTTCTCAGCTTTGATGTCCTCTCCTTGTCAGTCTGGGTCAGGCAGCCCCTTGGGGCTCCCCCAGCCTCCTGGACCCCCTCATCCCTGTCCCCATCACTCTGGGTCATCAGAATCTGGAGATAGATCTACATCTCACACTGGACTCTGGGCTCCAGGGGGGCTGTCTCAGCCACCGCCACATCGCAGCATCCCTTATCATGAGGCAGAACCCAGTGTATGAGCTTGGGTGATATCTGGGTACATCAAGTCCCCCAAGACTGTCTACACACGGCTTTGACTTAGCATCTAAGTTCAGTGGAGTGCATTCGTGTGGGTGGGGATCTGTCATCACCTAAGACACGGAGATCCACTCTCTGTGTACCCTAAACCTTGATTCCATGGAGGGGGCAAAGACACCTGAGACCCCCGGCTTCAGGCCTCCAGGTGAGGACACTGGTGGTGTTTGAGGATAGGACCCAGGGTGGCCAGTGAGACATGATAGTTGTCCCTGTCAGGGGGGCTCAGAGGGTCCTGGGGGGAAAGAGTGGTTGGGAAGAGGTCCAGCTGGAGAGGTAGGGAAAGGGGTCAGGACAGGTTGGCACACAGAGGAGGTCATTTCTAGCAAGTGCGTGTGGGGGTCCAAGTTCATCACTCCTGGGTACAGATGGGGATGAACACTGTGTGTGTGAGAGAGAGAAAGAGAGACAGAGAGAGTGTCTATGGGCGCGATATGCCCCGGTGTGTGAGCTCATGAGAGTCCTGGTGTCACTCCTGCCCACCTCTCCTCTACCCCTCCCCTGTCCTGTGGGTTCAGCTTTCTTACCTAGGAGAACCAGCTCCCTCCAATGTCTGCATCGGGGTCTGGAAAGGTCCATGGGTTGCTCAGGTTCTCCTGGGCTAGGTGTCTCTCCAGGGATCGGGCAGCCTCCTCTGCCCCTTCACGGACCTGTGTCTCCAGCCCTGGGCTGCTGGTCCCCATCCCCCTCTGCGTCCCAGGATGGACTCTGAACCACAGCACAGGCGGGGCTGGGGAGTTGGATGTTATCTTAATGACTTTATGGTGGCTGTAGCTTATTATTTATCCACCTTAGTTTTAAAAATTTTTTAATACTATTCTACCCTGGTTACAACAACAACAAAAAAACCACCATATGCTACTTTTAGGAAAACTGGAAAATACCAAAAAGCACAATAAATAGAAGACATCAGACTTTCTTTTGTAATTTTTTTTCAATGTTTGTTCACTTTTGAGAGACAGTGAGACACAGAGCATGACTGGGGGAGGTGCAGACAGAGAGGGAGACACAGAATCTGAAGCAGACTCCAGGCTCTGATCTGTCAGCACAGAGCCCGATGGGGCGGGGTGGGGGGGGGGGGCGGGCTTGAACTCAAAAACCGCGAGATCATGACCTGAGCCGAAGTCAGATGCTTAACCGACTGAGCTACCCAGGAGTCCCTCTAAATATACCTTTGTAAATATATTCATATTTGTGATAAATAAACAGATAATTGTTTATCTAAATATACATATAAATATTTATGCAAGCATACATGTTTACATTTGTAAATAAATATAAATAAAAATATAAGTAAATAAAAAATCTTCATAAGTAAAATACATAACTATTTAGCCTAACTTGATTAATACTATTAAAAAATCACCTGTAATGGTTTGACCACCTGGAGAGATATCCAGGGTCTTTGTCTGAAACTTTTCAGTTTTGATATGTTACATGTTATATGATATGTCATACATACTCAGGCACACATGTATATTTTTACCTAGGTGGTATCACACCATGAAATATCCTTTATTTGGGCTTCTCCAATGTTAAACCCAACTTTAAGTCAGAGACAGGTGAATATACACCTTAGGGTATCTAGTGGTCCATTCAATATCTCTGAAGTCTCCTACTGTTTTCTAAAAACCCATATGAATATTTGCAGCCTACTGCAAAACACATCTGTGTTTGTTTTAATAGGAAAATAATATATGACTCACCATTGAAATTCTTCAATTGGTCCCTCTTGGTATTTGATTGTAAGTGATGCCCCCAGAAAACACATGAAGTTGTTTTTCTGCCCTTAGCTCATGAAACCCTTCCTTCTGTATCTTCATTGCTCATTGTTCATGACCACGTACTACTCCACTGAATTGGCCATGAATTGATTTGTTCAACCCATACCCCATTTGTGAGTAATTCGCTTCTTTCAACATTTTCTCTCTCTCTCTCTCTTTCTCTCTCTCTCTCTCTCTATATATATATATATAGTAGGTGTTTATATTATATACATTATATTCTCCCTCAGAGAAGTAATACTTTATTTTTATGTTTATTTATTATTTTTGAGAGAGAGAGAGAGAGAGAGAGCACACAAGCAGGCGAGGGGCAGAGAAAGAGGGAGACACAGAATCTGAAGCTGACTCCAGGTTCTGAGCTGTCAGCGCAGGGCTCGAACCCACAAACCTTGAGATCATGACCTGAGCAGAAGTCAGATGCTTAGCTGACTGAGCCACCCCAGCAACCCAAATATTTTCTTTCTATACAAACAGCAGTATAACAACTTTTGGCCAGTCCCATTTGTGGAGCTAGATGAGTTCCAGAGACAGACTTCTGTAATAATGAATTTAGCCTTAGTCAAAGACAAATCTGGTTTTGTCCTCAGCTCCTAGAAGGCATCTCTAAGTCTTCAGAATGTCCTGTCCAGGGGCGCCTGGGTGGCGCAGTCGGTTAAGCGTCCGACTTCAGCCAGGTCACGATCTCGCAGGATCTCACGATCTCGCGGGATCTCGCGATCTCGCGGTCCGTGAGTTCGAGCCCCGCGTCGGGCTCTGGGCTGATGGCTCAGAGCCTGGAGCCTGTTTCCGATCCTGTGTCTCCCTCTCTCTCTGCCCCTTCCCCGTTCATGCTCTGTCTCTCTCTGTCCCAAAAATAAATAAACGTTGAAAAAAAATTAAAAAAAAAAATAAAAAAAAGAATGTCCTGTCTGATAAGAGTGTCTATTTACCTGGGGGCTTTGGGACACACTGGATAGTCTACAGTGGAAATTATGATGAAGGCTTTGAGTCACATGGCATCAGCTCTGCCCTTGGAGGGGCTGAAGACTAAGTTCAGCTATGTGAGCAGTGGGACATATCTATGTGACAGAGCCCTAATAAAAACTCTGACGTCAAGGCTTAGGCAATCTTCCCTAATCAGCACACTGTCACAAAGTCATGCTGGGAGGAGCTAATGCTGTCCATGACTCCACTGGAGACAAGTGGAAACCCCACACTTGGGATTCCCCTGGACCCCGACCCATGCCCTTCCCCCCTTTAGTGACATCAGTCTGTATCCTCATGCTGTAATGATCCCTAACCACAAGGATAACAGCTTTCAGGGTGTTATGTGAGTCCTTCCAGTGAGTGATAGAAACTGAGGTTTCTCTTGGTTACCCTGAACTTGCAATGGTGTCACAAGCGAAGGGGGTCATATGGATGCCCTCTGGGACAGAGACCCTGTGGTTAAAAGAGAGAATCCCAGAGGCTCCTGGGTGGCTCAGTCGGTTAAGCATCCGACTCCTGATTTCGGATCAGGTCATGATCTCATGGTTTCATAGGTTCGAGCCCCACATTGGGCTGTGTGCTGACCTTGTAGAGCCTGCTTGGGATTCTCACTCTCCCTCCCTCTCTGCCCCTCTCTCGCTCATGCTCTCTCTGTCTCTCTCAAAATAAATAATAAAAAAACAATTAAAAAGAGAGACAGAGAGAATCCCAGACTACACTGCCCGGGCTCAAATCCAAGTCTAGCATCCTGCCAGATCATCTCAGGAATGTGACTTTCTTCACTAAGCCTCACTATCTCCACCTGTAAAGTGGGGATGTGCAATGTTTCCTCTCCATAGGGCTGTTTCGAGCTTTAAATGAGGTAATATGTGAAAATGTCTGCGACCAATGCCTCCCACACAGTTTCAGGAAATGTTAATCCCTATGAGCATACGTAAGCCTTTTTATGTTTTACAACTTTTTGGGGAAAAATTTTTTAACTGCATTTATAGATTTAAAAAACTTTAATGTTTATTTATTTTTGAGAGAGAGAGAGAGAGAGAGAGAGAGAAAGAGAGAGAGAGAGAGAGAGAGAGAGGGCATGAGCAGAGGAGGGGCAGAGAGAGAGAGAGGGAGACACACAGTCCAAAGCAGGCTCCAGGCTCTGAGCTGTCAGCACAGAGCCCAACGCAGGGCTGGAACTCACGAACCCCGAGATCATGACCTGAGCTGAAGCTGGTGCCATGCAGGCACCCCAGATTTTTAAAAAACACTTCAATTGTATGACCTAACAACAAAAATCTTCACAGGTACTTAAATTACCCATTACTTAAGGGTTTGTGCCCTTATTACCTCTTTTGTCCTTATGAAGGAAAAGGGGGGGATGGTTAATAGTATGAGACCAGCAATCTCTGCCCACAGAGACCTTCTGATTGTATCTATTTGATATCACTCAGCACGAAGCGTCCTTATCCAACAGAGCTTTGTGCGAAATCATTGCAGGAGAATGTCCCTTCCTTGTATCCAGACTATATGTAGCAAGTGATGCTTGGTCCAGTCAGTTGGGACCAATATGGCAGAACTGCTTTCCTTCAGAGCCCACAGTGAGATTCCAAGCATTTAATGCAGTGAGACCCTCAGGAGGCCCCTACCTTCACGAGGAGACTGTAGGCTTGGCTACACCTCAGGCTTCAGAGACTCACTCTCATTCCCTCAAGGTGACCCCAGACTTGGACCTTGCTCACTCCACCCTGGATCCCCTATAACTTTAAGTATCTCATCTGAAACCCTGTCTCTTTATTCAGGAATTGGGGGCTTCCTACATTGTCAGCCCCTGAACATTCCTAAAGTGTGAAGTCTGACAGATGTTGGAGCATTGACTCCCTCCAGAAAGGCGTACCAATACCGGGTGTAGCTCCCTTTAGTGAGCTCCAGTGCTCACCTGGGGGCAAGTGGCAGCCTGGGAAGCAGTCCCAAGGAGCCCTTAATCTCTTTCTGGAGCCCATCTTTGTTACCTTCTTATCAAGATGGCAAAACATGACTGCCCCTCCCAGGGTAAGGTTCTCCCTGGTACAGCCAGACTGGACACTAGGAAACATCCACCCCTCCCTGCTCACCAGGCCTGGAGGTCACAGGGAATGCTACCGTGGATCTTTGTGGAACTGCAAACCATGTGGAGCCCTGACACCCCCCAGCCCTGTCCCCGTGGCCCTGTCTGGGCAAACTCATTACCCCAAGTGCATCAGACAACCACGGGGAGCCACAGAGTTGTGAATCACAGCAACCTTGATCTTGGTCTACATCCTCATGGGGTTAGGGTTAGAGAGGTTGGGAGGCAGAAGCCCCCAATCAGCTCCCAGAGAAGGAAGCGGAATGGGAAAATAACAGTAACACGGATAATAACAACATTGATCACAGTAATAATTATTTCCCTTTTATCATTCCTGTGTAGCGAGACTGTCAGAGAGATTGGTCTCTGAGTGGCAGGGTGGGAGCCAGGTACCAGGGAGGAGCTGGTGGGAAAGCAGATGGCTTGAAAGAGAGGGATGGAGGGAGGAGGTGGCTGGTGCAGCGATCCGGGTAACTCTCTGGGTGAGCAGCAGAGGGCGCCCTAACTGGGCAGGGAACGTTGGGAGAGATGCGCCGCCGCCAGGGGGCGCCGTGAGGCTGCGGGGGAAGTGCACAGACCCCCGTTTCTGCAGGAAACTGCAGCGTGGACCTTACAGCTACCACCTTTACGGATTTGAGAACAAAAGCCAGGCGGAGTAAAATCAAGCAACACCACCAAACAACAGCAACAACAGCAAACCAAAGCAAGGAGGGTAATAGGGCCTCCATCATATGAACCCT